AGATCTGCAAGATTCTGCAATTTTTATTGGCTCCGAGCTAATTTTTGTACATCGATTTTCTTGACATAAGGGAATCCCTGTCTTAGAGGTCCAATCCGGATAAATCCGTCATCCGGATATTCATTTACTATTGGTATCCAGATAATATTCGGATAATTATCCGGATATCAATCAGATCTTAATATCCAATAGATAAATGGATAAACGGATAATGGATAGGAACTCTGCACTGTCTAATAAGAATTTTAAAACTCAAACGTACGAATACTGTATGATCAAAATTCTGGTGTGGCAGTCGTAACAACAGCCGGACGATAATACCGTTATCGTATGGATAGATAAAAAATTGACACGAATGTATATCAGTGATCGCACTATATATCTGTCAGAGATATATGGACTGCAGTCGCGTCCCACATATCCCCGACAGATATTTGATCCGATCACCATACCACCGTACCAATATTTTTTTTTACCTACCATTAGGGTACCTGGCAAAGCATGCCATATGTAGTGGTATGCCAATGGTATGCCACCTCATAAATTAGTTATACAAAATAAGCAATATTATAATAAGGCAGTATATATAAAATATATGTTATGTATTAGTGGCATGTCAGGGTGGCATTCTGGCATGAATTTAAACAAATAGCATGCCACTTGGCATTGGGGTGCGTGGTGTACTATGTAAATCAAAACTGTGTGGTCACATAATAAAATTGATTAACGAAGATTTTTCGATAGGAAATAAATTTTATAATAATTATTAGAAAATTTTAAATAGATGCACAGACCTAACAGCTTGACAATTTTGGATAAAATTTATAAGGACCAGTATTACGTCTCTACAAACAAAGCTATAGAGCCATTTCTTTTATTTGATGTGAAAAATTTCCATATATATACTGTATTAATATATTTTTTTTTTCTTAAAAAAAGTCAAGTAGTAAGAATTTAATTTAATTCCTTTTTAAAGAAATGGCTCTACAGTTCTGTTTGTAGAGACGTAATACTGGTCTTTGTAAAATTTTATCCAAAACTGTCGAGCCGTTAGGTCTGTGCATAGTGTTCCGAGTTGATTAAAATTTTTCAATCGATTAGTTGTCAACTTACGTAGTAGGCAACTAATAGTTACATGTTTTCAATAAATTTGATTGGCATAATAAACAATCACGTGTTTTTGTATCATTTTAAACCCTTCTGATTGGCTAAAAAATTAAACATTATTATTTTCAACTAAGCGATTTGGATCACTATCTGTGCATCTATTTAAAATTTATTACCTATCGAAAAATCTTCGTTAATCAATTTTATTATATGACAGCATTAGTTTTGATTTACATAGTACACCGCGCACCCCAAGCGTGAATAATACGCAAACCTTAAGGCAAGTACGACCATAAAAAATGAACTACAGCCAATCAAATTCATGGAGATCGCACGTGAATTATTCTAGATGTTCTAGAATGCGATCTCCTAATTTGGTATATCGTCAGACCGCTGATAACGATAAAATTTTTATCAAAAAATAATCAAGATATTGATCTACTGAAAAACTTATCTGTTATGATCCAGCCCACGTAATATGACCTTTTATTCTCATATGCTCGAGTCCCTAAAAAAAAGAGCCTAAATTTTTTTCCGGACAAAGTAGGCAACAACTTCTACCGCATTTCTGGATCGAAAACCTTATGTAAATTCGTTACCATTAGATTTTCCAGGGGTAGTAATTAATATAAACAAAATCTTGTATATTCTTGTGTCTAATGGCTATCGACATCATTAAAAAATGCTTTCAGTTACCAACGTAGCTCGGCCTTTTTCGGGGTTTCGTCTTTTATTAAAGCTTCAAAGGCATCATCTTTCTCCGGAGATTCCACTTTCCGCCAGGGAGTTCACCTTTCGCCGGGGGTTTCACCTTCCGTCGGGTGTCTCACCTTTCGCTAGGGGTTTCGCTCTTCGCCGGGATTTCGCAGTTTCACAAGGGCACTTTCGTCTTTCATCGGGTTTAGGTCTTCATTTACATAGAATGATTTCGTCTAACAGCAACTATAAAGAAACTAACAAAAATATGCGTATTAATAAAGATACAAAAGTTATTTGCCAAGGTTTTACCGGGAAGCAAGTGAGTTCAAGTTTTAATTATTGCCAAATAGTTCTATTCAAAGTTTTCCCTAATACTTATAATTATTTTTTTCCTTTAACTTTCATTTCATTAGGGTACTTTTCATTCGCAGCAAGCCATTGAATACGGAACTAAATTAGTTGGCGGTGTTTCCCCCAAGAAAGGAGGTACAACTCACTTAGGGTTACCTGTGTTTAACACCGTAGCAGAAGTAAGAATTATTGGTTAAAATTACTTCTTGGGCTATTGTTTAACATTTATTTATTTATTTTTTTTAGGCAGCTCGCGAATTAAAACCAGATGCATCTGCAATTTATGTTCCTCCTTCTTTTGCTGCTGCCGCTATTATAGAAGCCATCCATGCCGAAATTCCTTTAGTAGTCACGATTACGGAAGGTATTCCGCAGCAAGATATGGTTAAGGTATGTATCAAACAACCGACTTTCATTGAAAAAAAATGAAATGTTATAATACATTTATATTTCATGATTATTTTAGGTTGTGAAAGTTTTGAAATCCCAAAACAAGACTCGTCTTATAGGTCCGAATTGTCCCGGTATAATTGCGCCAGGTGCTTGTAAAATTGGAATTATGCCTGGTCATATACACAAAGTAGGAAAAGTTGGCATAGTGTCTCGATCCGGAACTTTGACTTACGAAGCAGTTAACCAAACTACTCAAGTAAACCTTGGACAAACATTATGCGTTGGTATTGGTGGTGATCCGTTTAACGGGACTAACTTTATAGATTGTTTGAAAGTGTTTTTGGACGACGAAGACACGAAAGGTATATATAAACATAATGTAAAATGACAAGGTTAATAGAAATAATGATTATTTCATTTACTTCAAATTTTAAATAGGCATTATATTGATCGGGGAAATTGGCGGTTCAGCTGAAGAGGAGGCTGCAGAATTTCTTAAGGAACACAATTTAACTCGGAGCCAACCAAAACCAGTGGTATCTTTTATTGCTGGTTTAACTGCACCGCCTGGTCGTCGTATGGGTCACGCTGGAGCCATCATAGCTGGTGGTAAGGGTACCGCAGGTGATAAAATTAAGGCTTTAGAGGATGCTGGTGTAGTTGTATCTAGGAGCCCAGCCAGACTAGGTATCACTTTAAGAGAAGTAAGTTAAAATGTTTACTATTAATATTTGAATCTTTTTTTAGCATAGTCTTTTAATTTTTTTAATTCTATATATAGGAAATGGAAAAGGCAGGCTTAGCTTAATGTGTTACAATAAACATTCAATATCAGTTACATGATTTGTATATATATAAAAATTATAATAAAATTAAAGATTATATATATACTGTATATATTAATTCATTTTTAAATTTTATAATTAAATAGATTAAAAGAAGTAGAATAAAGCTATTATGAAAGCTAATTTAAAATTTTGTAAAATTATACAGGTTGAATAATATGGTTATTATATAGTATAATTATAAAATTTGAAAATATTAGTAAAAAAATAAATTATATATATATATATATATATATTGTATCATATACTATTACAATATTAGTGTGTAAAATCTGAGTTACAAACATGTGTACAAGGAAAAAAAATATATGCACTAAGCACATTGTGCATTCATAGGAAGACTTTCGTATGATTGGCAATTTAAATCAATTTAATTTTACATTATTACTCAGAATAAACAAAAATACACCCTCTCTTGGTGGACAGCTTTTGTATCGGGTTTGCGAATTTAAAGTACTAATGGCCTGCTGTCACATGATCACAAATAAATACAATTGGCTGAATTGTATTTATTATCCGGCAGGTACTAAGTAAACACTGACGGAAAAAATTCTAAATTATTTCCGCAAATTTTTATTAAAATCATGTGACAAATTCTTACTAATTTTAATATAAAACCTGCGGAATTAATATAAAATTCTTTCCGTAAGTGTATACGTCATACCTGCCAGATAAACTAGTTATCTGGCATGATATACGGATCATGGACATCGACAGTATAATTGCAACGCACGAGGCCTTCGGCCATCCGTCAAATCATCTGATATATATAATCTGTTACACAAAACCCGATCTGAGCCAATCAAATCGATTTATACATCGGTTATCAGAAATGGCAGGTTATCGGGTTTTAATTATGAAACGGACATGGTGGATCGGTTTTATATCGGTTATAACAGGTTATCGGTTTGACAGGATCGGTTTTGGGAGGGTGTACTGTATATAGAAAGTTTTATTAGGGTTGTAGGACTCCACTATTAATAATAATCAAAATCCTAGAGATTGTACCCGGGTAGATATTTTAATATAGGGCTATAATAAATTATCCGGATAACCGGGTAATTTAATAATACCCGGGTAGAGATTTTCTTGACGGGTACAATCTCTACAAAATCCCTTTTCGTTTTAGAGAAGTTAGCATAATAGCGACTTCTTAAGATAGATAGAATTAGATTATCACCATGCTAACACAAAAAGGGATGTTGATTGGTTTTAATAGTAGAGTCCTACAACCCTAATAAAACTTTCTATATACTTCTTTTTTGTCTATTCTGAGTAGTTTTATTTTTTTTTAAAAAGTACTTTAAACTGTATAAGTAATGTAAAATTAAATTGATTTAAATAGCCAATCATACGAAAGTCTTCCTATGAAATTATGCATATTGATTTTATACACTAATTATATACTGTAATTATTTTTAAGTATTTACTGTATATATATTTCAAGAAATTTAGATCCGTTCCCTATTTTATATATGGGGGGTGCCAGTAGAAACCAAGCAAATTGTTTCTAAGTAAATTTTTTTAAAACTTTAAAATAAAATATCTTAACAACTTTCAAACCAAACTTGATAAAATTTTTTTTATTTTAATTCTATTTAGTTATAGAATTAAAATAAAAAAAAATTTATCAAGTTTAGTTTAATAGTTGTTGAGATATTTTGATTTGAAATTTTAAAAATACTCACTAAAAACAATTTGGTTTCTACTGGCACCCCCATATACTGTATATATTAAAATTCTATTAATTTTTGTCACTTCAAAGTTGATTATTATAAAATTTAAAGATTTCTCATTGAGAAAACTTTTCAAATTGTTATTATTGATAACTTGGACTAGCTGGTAAACTGTAAATTTAATAATAAAATTTAAAAATAACGTAAGGTAAATAGGGTATTATCGAATTTAAAGTTGTACAGGCATTGCATGCATTTAGAGAGGAATATATTGGGAATGTAAAATTTGTGTTATATTAGTTGAGGGTTGCATTTAGGGGTCTGACTAATAATATTATATAATTAAAAATAAATAGTAGACACAAATTTAGCGTTATGAATTTAGCGATAGCACGACGTACGTACACGGATAAAAGTTTACAAAATTGTTAATCTATTTATTATTATGTATACACCATACGTATTGTGATACACAAATATGTTAAAATTAACAAAACTATATACATTTCACCCTAAATTTTATGTCTTGAAATTTTCAATTTATGTATATATCTTTATATAGATACATATTTTCATTATAATAATAATTGTTAAATCCTAATGCAGTTTTTTTGTTGTGAATTAAATGAATTTTTTGATTTGATTGCTTTTTTTTTTTTTTTTTTGTGCATAACACAAATTGATCAAATGATTAAAACTTTACATCAAACCAAAAAAATATATAAAAAAAATGTAATGTTTCAAAATAATGAAATATGCAAAAACATAAAATATGTTATACTGTTAAACTTAAAGAATGAAAAATACATCGTCAATATATCAAATATTCGGCAAGTATTTTTCCTTATTTTGTCGAGAGTAAATCATTAAAAACAATCTGACTATACAAAAAAAAAAATAATACAAACATAAATACATAAAACGTAGAGTGATAAGGTTCCCATGTCTCAATAATAATGTCAAACAAATACTCGTACCCCCAAAACTTGACATTATGAAATAAATAAGTAAATAGATAAATAAATCATAAGTGATAATAATAATAGCATAATATATAAAAATGAGAATAAAAAATAATAATAGATGGTAACACGATTCTCCTATATCATATAAAAAGAAGAAAAAGAAAAAAATATGTACACAAAATGGATCAAAGGTCGAGTAAGTTGTATCAACAATTAATTAGAGTTTCCGCGAGTATGTATGATTCGGGTACTATCGATGTCAATTCAACTGACTAGGGATTTTTTCTTCATTCATATTATCCTCTTCGCTAGTTACTACCCGATCTTCAGTGATATTTGGAGGTGCATTAGTGTTAGTATTTGTTACAAGTGTCTTTTTCCACTTCTCCCTTTCTTCTACACTTGGTCGGCGTCTTCTAACACTCTTCCCATCGTTAGCGCCATTGTGTTGTGATATCCAATTATTTGATACTCTTGATGTTAGATTTAGTAAACCCTTCTTAGTACCATATCTATCCAAATAATCAAATGACATAAGAGTTGGTGAATTTATCTCATTTGGACCTTCATCTTCAGTAAAGTTTTGTTCTTCCTCAGATTCTGAAAAGTCTGATAATTCTATGACTTTTAGCGGAACACTACTAGATCTTAAACGAAAAGAAGGGCTGAAAACTGATGAAGTTTTTGCTATTTTTTCTACTCCAGCCACATTTACTAAAGAATGATTACGTTTTTCATGAAATTCATCATAATTAAACTGGTTATTGGTATCTTTACTAGAATCTTTTGATGGTGGTGTAGATGGTGCTGTTATAGATGATGATGACGAAAGTGGTGAAATTTTAGAAAATGTATTATTTACAGCAAAATTTTTCATAGAATCGCTTTGATTATTATTATGAGTGTCAATGTCGTCCTTATTTACAGGTAAACCTTTTATGGAAGAAGATGACGACGATGGGTATGAATTACTCGAACTGTTTGCACTAGGATGTCTATCAATCATCAGCAAGTCTTCAAAACTTTTTGAAAAATCTTCGGAAATATAAGTTTTGTGATATACCTGTGGTGCTCGCTTTTCTTTAACTTGTTGTTCTCGTTTTTCAAGTTCAATTTCTGCTTCTTCACTAATACATCCTTTCCCAAAAACGATATCTAGATGGCATATAAAGGATTTAAAAAGAATTGAACCTATTCCTAAACTTGGACAAAAAATCAGGCCGAGGTTACTAATAGTCATTTTGTTCACGTCATTGTTACTATCAACACGAGAGAGATGTGAAAAAAGGGCGCGTAGTGTATAAAAATGATAAGGCGGTAAGCGAGAAATGATGGCTGCAAGATCATGAGGAAGTGCTTCTGGGACTACGGTTGGTGCAGTGAAATAAGCAGTGGACATCTGTTGGGTTCCAGATCCAGGTGCAATTGCTGGTGGTATAGCATTTAAATCAGAGTTGGTATGCTTCGCTACACATGCGCTAAAGTCTGGTAAAAGTTCCTCTGTCAATATAGGTTCTGGTACTATAGAATAAACATAATAAATTAATTTATATGCTCGAAAAAAAAACAATATATTTCAAAATATAATCCATAAACTATCACATACATTCACGCAGATACATTTTTAAGAGTGTTGCTACTACGTGTGGATCTTCCCTAGAACTTTGTAAAAAATTTAAATCCAACCCTATAATAATAACACAATTTACTTTGAATGAATAGATCTTTTTATTCAAATAAATATGAATAATATCCAATTTAGCACATACCAGAATTGAAAATACCACGCATGCGTTGCACTGCCGACATACTTCCCGGTATTCTA